AAGGTAAATCATGTGTTCAGGAAACAATGAGTAGGTATCTTTTGAGCAAAAGATTCATATAAGAAAAAGAAAATAACCACACCATTTAAACTGGTAAGAGCGATGTCACGTATTTGTTCTTTCATTGAATACTTTATTCACTTATTCAATATTTACTGAACATCACAGATATTAACCGAATGGATAAAACCTACGAATGGATGAGCAGCATTATTCCAGGCACTGGTAATATAGTGATAAGTAAGGCGAAATCCTTGTCCTCAAGGGGCATGCTCACAGGGAGACAGCACATAAGGATTACAAGAGAGGGGATGCTTCTAGCTAGCCTGGTAAGTAGTTTGGACAGATGTGAGCCATTGGTTCTAGAAGATTAATCCAGGGCCGGGTGCAGTGGCTCACACCTGTAATCCCAACACTTTGGGTGGCCAAGGTGGGCAGATCACTTGAGGTCAGGAATTCAAGAACAGCCTGGCCAACATGGCACAACCCCATCTCTACTAAAAATACAAAATTTAGCTGGGCATGGTGGCACACACCTGTAGTCCCAGCTACTTGGGAGTCTGAGATAGGAGAATCACTTGAACCCAGGAGGTAGGGGTTGCAGTGAGTAGAGACAGCGATTGTGCCACTGCACTCCAGCCTGGGTGACACGGCAAGACTCCATCTCAAAAAAGAAAAAAGAAAAAAATAAAAGATGAGCCCGGGCACGGTGGCTCACGCCTGTAATCCCAGCACTTTGGGAGGCCGAGGCGGGTGGATTACGAGGTCAGGAGATCGAGACCATCCTGGCTAACATGGTGAAACCCCGTCTCTACTAAAAATACAAAAAATTAGCCGGGCGTGGTGGCAGGCACCTGTAGTCCCAGCTACTGGGAGGCTGAGGCAGGAGAATGGCGTGAACCCGGGAGGCGGAGCTTGCAGTGAGCCGAGATCGCGCCACCGCACTCCAGCCTGGGAGACAAAGTGAGACTCCTTCTCAAAAAAAAAAAAAGAAAAGATGAATCTAGCAGTGATATTGTAGTATAACATGAAATATATTTGGTCTTTGTTCCCATTTCAGTCACAAAGCTCCTAAAACCCTGGGAATTTCCTGAGTGATAGGAGTGTCCTTTGTTATTCATAATGAGCCCCTTTTGATCACATGTGAGTTTATGCTAATGAGGTGATTTAGGGTGGTGCAACTAGATTAGCCTCCAGATGGGACTGGTCACTAGAAAGACCAAGTGATTATAGGTTGGAACTTTCAGAGCCACTCACCAACCTCTAGGAATTGGAATGAGTGAGCTGGAGATTAAGTTCCATAGAAACTCTTGGACAATGAGGTTTGATGAGCTCCTGTGGTGTCACAGAGAGGGTGTGGAAACTCTACAGCACCCTCCCCCATACCTTCCTCTATGCATCTCTAACAGCACCCCCTATATCTTCACCTATACATATCTAACAGCACCCCCTCATCCCTTCCCCTATGCATCTCTAAAACTGCCTGTTCATCTGTGTGGCATTCAGATAGCCACACCTAGTCAAACCAATCCCCTGGGCTCTATGCAAATCAGACACCACCTCCTCGAGCCCTCCTGACATAACCAACTGTTTCTGCTAAAGGAGGTTATTCCATTTGGAGCCCTCCTCCCTCTGGGGGAGCTGTTCTCTTCCTTCTTGCCTATTAAACTTTCCACTCCTTAATCCACTCTATGTGTGTCTTTGTTGCTAATTTTTTTGGCATGTGACAAAGGACCCTGGGTGTTTCTCCAGACAATGCAGCCATATCACCACACTCAGCTAGTTTTTGTATTTTTAGTAGAGATGGGGTTTTGCCATGTTGATCAGGCTGGTCTCTAACTCCTGACCTCAAGTGATCCACCTGCCTCAGCCTCCCAAAGTGCTGGAGACAAAGGAGCCTGGCACAAGACAAAATACCCTGGGTGTTTCCCTAGATAATGGAGCCATATCATTTTTGGGGGCTCATCCGGAATCCCAAGGTACAACATTCAATGGAGCGGTGAGTAGAGGAGTGGACTCAAAATCTGTCCTTTCATTCTGAGGCTCTTGGTCTCCATTTAAAAATCAAATCAAATCAATAACAAGCATCTATCAGCCAGTTAAAGACACGTTTAGTGTGGCTGCCATTCTTAGAGACTTGGATGTCAGGCTTACTGGGGAGAACATGGAGACTCCCCCACAATACCCATGGGTCATTGGGCATGTTGGTCATGCTTCCAACCAGCTTCCTTTCATGAGGAAACCTAACCATCCCATGAGGCCAGGAAAAGTTCTGAAGCAATTGAGAATTTCTGGCCAGTGCACGCCCTTGTATTATTCAAATGCTTCTGGACTGGACTCAACCTCCAATAGCCTGCCCACGTGTTGGTAAAGGATCCCCAGCTAGCCTGTTGGAAAATTTCCCTTCTTTTTCTGTCTGTGATCACTATGTCTCTTATTTTCTCTGTATGTCAAATGTGATGGAATTTTTGCAGCCCAGGGATATAATCCTGTTAAGGAAGATCAGGAAATGCTGTAGTAACCATGGATGTAGCTCACGATCTTGCCATCTTCTAGGAACAGAGGGCCTCCCCTTTCCCCCACAGTGAGGTCACTCACTATTGCTCCTCTCGCGAGCGCATGGTATTTCTAAGCCAATAGGGCCACCTTGTAGGAATAGAAATCCCCTCCATAGGACACATTGTTGGTCCACTGTAGCTTCCCAATTTTTCCATTTTGCAGCTTTCTTTATGCTGCTTCTGTGAATGGGAAAATTCTATCCCAACAATTAGGAGTAAAATGTCCTCTGCAGCCAAATTTTAGTCCTGATACTGTCCCATCAGCAGGAAAATCACCATTAGGTCCTTTAGTCCCTTTAAGGCACCTATTTTGGCTCCAATTAAAACAGTACTTAATTAGTAAGGGGATTTTTAAGTCCAGAAGTTAACCCAAACCATTTTCTAAGGGTAAATGCTTTAGCACGGGCCATAATAGCAGGCAATCTAGCACATTCCCTCTGTTAAAGGAGCCTTGCCTTTTACATGTTTTTTTCCCAAGATCCATTTTCCAGGGAGGCACACAGATCACACAAGTCTAGGAAATAAAAGGGGAACAACACACAGAGAACTAGGACAGAGTGGGTATGCATGACTAATCCCATATTCTAGTTTCTCTGGTTCCATGGCTTGGAAGATCACGCCTCCAACCGTGGGCGGCACATTTAACAAGGTGTCGGGACCCAGGAACCAAGGAGGGAAAACAGTCAGGGGGACGCTCCCACTGTCTTCCTTCTCCATGCTGGGTCACACACTGAAAGGAAGGAGACTAAAAGGATGACTTTTTCTCACTTCTTTTTCTAGATAGGAAACAGACCATCTATAACCTGCACTCCTCTGGAGTGCATTCTAAAGAGCTAGGGCTCCTTCAACCCTGAGACTTTGAAGAAAAAGCACCTCATATTCTATTGCACAAAGGCATGGTCTTCTTACCATCCCAGGGACAGACAAACCAACTGGAGGGGGCCTTGCTTTTAATATTATCCAACAATTAGATCTTTTCTGTAGACAGAAGGGCAAATGGTCTGAGGTCCCCTACGTATAGGCTTTCCTTGCCCTGCAAGACAACCCAGATCTTTACAAGCTTTGTACAATGGACCCAGTTCTTTTAGCAGCCATGGCAGGCAAACCCATAGGGAATAATTCCCCAGAGCTAAAGCAGATTCTAGAGGAGCAATCTGAGACAGCTACTGAATGTCCCAACTCTTCTAATCTCCCTCATCCAGAACTCCCTCCAATCATGCCATCCGCTCCTCCAGCTCCACCATCTTCAGTATCACCCACTTTACCCACTTCACTCTTAGCTCTGCAGGAAATGCCTGATGGAAATGGTGCTATGAAGGTTCATGTTCCCTTCTCATTACAGGATCTTAAGCAAATAAAGGGAGAGAGGCTGATTTTCTGATGACCCCCATAGGTATATAGAAACTTTCCAAAATTTAAATCAGGTGTTTGACCTCACGTGTTGCTCCTAAGTCAGATTCTCACTGCAGCTGAAAAGCAGGCAGTTCTTCAGGCAGCAGAAAAATATGGAGATGTGTAGGTGAAGGATTACCTATGTGCTGAGGCAAGAGACTGAAGGCACAAACTGTTTCAGTATAATAAAGAAAATAGTTAGAATAAGAATACTTATAATACAAATTAGATATAGAGATGATCATGGACATTATCAATCATTAGTATAAACATTATTAATCATTAGCTTTTAATATTACTCTTTGTTGCATTACTAATATAACCAAGGAATAACCGGCGGGTATAGGGTCAGGTGCTAAAAGGACATTGTGAGAAGTGACCTAGAAGGCAAGAGGTGAGTCCTCTGTCACATCCGCATAAGGGCCATTTGAGGGCTCCTTGGTCAAGCGGTAACACCAATGCCTGGGAAGACACCCGTTACTTAGCAGACTGTGAAAGGGAGTCTCCCTTTCCTTGGAGAAGTCAGGGAACACTCTGCTCCACCACCTTCTTGTGGGAGGCTGGATATTATTCAGGACTGCCCGCCAGTCATCCGGAGGCCTTAACCCCTCCCTGTGGTGCTGTGCTTCAGTGGTCACACTCCTTGTCCACTTTCATGTTCCTCCCGTACTCCTGGTTCCCCTTTGAAGTTAGTAGTAGATAGCAGTAGAAGAAATAGTGAAAGACGTAAAACCTTTGATCTTTCTTATAGGTGCATAGAAGAAAATGCTGACATATGCTGCCTTCCCTCTCTGCTTCAGCTACCTAAAAGGGAAGGGCCCCCTGTCCCATGATCACATGACTTGCTTGACCTTATCAATCACTTGGACAACTCACCCTCCTTACCCTGCCCCCTTGTCTTGTATACAGTAAATATCAGCGTGCTCAGCTATTTGGGGCCACTACTGGTCTCCACGTCTTGGTGGTAGTTGTCCCCCCGGCCCAGCTGTTTTCTCTTTATCTCTTTGTCTTGTGTCTTTATTTCTTACAATCTCTCATCTCCGCACACAGGGAGAACACTCACTAAGCTCCGTAGGGTTGGACCCTACAGAGATGAGCAACATGTCTCCTACAGCAGACCAAAGAGATAAAAAGGAAATAGGGAAGGTGAAGAAAAAAATGGAAACTCCATTCCCACTAGGAAGAGAAGCACTTCTGGTAGACAACCCTCATGGGAACCACAATAGCTCAGTAGATGAATGGAAAAGGAAGCACTTTGACTGTGCATATTAGAGGCCTACAAAAAACCAGAGCCAAACTTCTTAATTACTCTAAACTATCCATGATAGACCAAAAACCAGACGAGAATCCCACAGCCTTTATGGAAAGGCTGAGAGAGACACTAACAAAACACACCTCTTTATCCCCTGATTTAGCTCAGGGACAGCTCATCCCAAAGGACAAGTTTATCACACAGGCATCTGCAGATATTTGAAGGAAACTACAGAAGCAATCTATAGGACCAAACAGCACCCGCGAAAACCTCCTGAGAATAGCCACTTTGGTCTTTGATAATAGGGATCAGGAGGAGACCCAAGAAAAAGAGAGGAAGCACAAGACAAGGACAGAGGCCCTAGTGGCAGCATTGCAAGCTTGCAAAGTCCAGGATCCCTAAGGTGCATCCACTAGCTGTTATTGATGTGGCAAGTTGGGGCATTTTAAGAAGGAATGCCCAAACAACAAGAAGCCAGCTCAACCCTGTCGTCTGTGATGGAAACCACTGGAGATCGAACTGCTCCCAGAGATGGAGGTCACTGCATTCAGAACCAGTCTCACTGATGGTCCAGCAAGACTGATGAGTCCCACGGCTCAACACCCGGCTCCAATAGCTCAAACTGCCATTACAGCACAGGAGCTCCAGGTGATTCTGGAAATTGAAGGAAGGAAGGTAGATCTCCTTCTGGATACTGGAGCCAGACTCTCTCTTCGCCTCTCTAATGTAGGCCTCCCCTCTTCCCACAGCACGACTGTAAGGAGCGTCTCAGGAAAGACTAATCCGACTTTTTTTTTTTTTTTTTGAGACCGGCAAGTCCCGCGTTTGCTCACCCAGGCTGGAGTGCAGTGGCGCGATCTCAGCTCACTGCAAGCTCCGCCTCCCGGGTTCATGCCATTTCCTGCCTCAGCCTCCGAGTAGCTGGGATTACAGGCGCCTGCCACCATGCCCGGCTAATTTTTTGTATTTTTAGTAGAGACGGGGTTTCACTGTGTTAGCCAGGACCTGTTGGGTATCTTTAGAAATAAAATTGCTGGGCCGGGCGCGGTGCTCAAGCCTGTAATCCCAGCACTTTGGGAGGCCGAGACGGGCGGATCACGAGGTCAGGAGATCGAGACTATCCTGGCTAACACGGTGAAACCCGTCTCTACTAAAAATACAAAAACCTAGCCAGGCGAGGTGGCGGGCGCCTGTAATCCCAGCTACTCGGGGGCTGAGGCAGGAGAATGGCGTAAACCTGGGAGGCGGAGCTTGCAGTGAGCTGAGATCCGGCCACTGCACTCCAGCCTGGGCCACAGAGCGAGACTCCGTCTCAAAAAAAAAAAAAAAAAAAAGAAATAAAATTGCTGAGCCATAGGATGTACTTATAGTCAGGTTTATACATATTGCCAATTAGTTTTGCAAGATGATTGTACTGTTTTCATTTTCCATGTGGCAGCGTATGACAGTTCCAGTTGCTTCCCCAGTTTTCAGCAGCACTGGTATTGTCAGTGTTTAAAATAGCCATTCTGGTGACTGTGTTTAATTTTCACTCTCTGGTTTCCAATGAAGTCAATCACATTTTCATATGTTTATTTGTTCTTTTGGATATCCCTGGCCCTGTTCCTATCTTCTGCTTATTTTCTATTGACTGCCTATTTTACTAATTTATTGATCAGTTGATTGAGTTATTCTTCCGATTAGAGTCCTTTCTCAGTTAAATACTTACTGCACATATTTTCTTTTTTTTTTTTTTTTTTTTTGAGACGGAGTCTCGCTCTGTTGCCCAGGCGGGGTGCAGTGGCCGATTCAGCTCACTGCAAGCTCCGCCTCCCGGGTTTATGCCATTCTCTGCCTCAGCCTCCCAAGTAGCTGGGACTACAGGCGCCCGCCCACGTCGCCTGGTTTATTTTTTTTTTTTGTATTTTTAGTAGAGACGGGGTTCACCGTGCTAGCCAGGATGGTCCGATCTCCTGACCTCGTGATCCGCCCATCTCGGCCTCCCAAAGTGGCTGGGATTACAGGCTTGAGCCACCGGCGCCCGGCCCTACTGCACGTATTCATCCACTCTGTGGGCTTTTTTTTTCTTTTCTTTTTTTTTTTTGAGATGGAGTTTCACCTCTGCCCCAGGCTGGAGTGCAGTAGGTGCAATCTTGGTTCACTGCAACCTCGCCTCCCAGGTTCAAGCAATTCTCCTGCCTCAGCCCTCCGTGAGTAGCTGGGACTATAGGCAACACACCACCAAGCCCAGCTAATTTTTGTATTTTAGTAGAGATGGGGGTTTCACCCATGTTGGCCAGGATGGTCCCTCAATCTCCTTGACACCTCTGATTCCGCCCCTTGCCTCCCAAAGTGCTTGGGATACACACTTTAGCCACTGCGCCCCACCCCTATGTGTTCTTCTTCATCATCTGATGGTGTGTTTTCAATGAATAATGTTCTTAATTTTAATGTAGTCCAATTTAATCATGTTTTCATTTTGATGTTCATATAAGAAATTTTCCTACCCCAAGACTTCATGAAATATTTTTTCCTTTTAGAAGCTATCACTACTTTTACCTATTACATCTTAAATCTGTAATATGCCTAAAATTTAGATTTTTGATTAATGGAGAAAAGGGTCCAAATTCTGTTTTCTCCTCATAATGATGATATACAACTGACCATCCCATTTTTATTACATTATTTATTATTATTTTTGGAGTGGAGTCTCCGCTCTGTCCGCCCAGGCTGGAAGTGCAGTGGCCGGATCTCAGCTCACTGCAAGCTCCCGCCTCCCGGGTTCCCGAGCATTCTCCTGCCTCCACCCCGAGTAGCGGGACTCACAGGCGCCCGCCACCTTGCCCTGGCTAGTTTCTGAAATTTTAGTAGAGACGGGTTTTCACACGTGTGCAGGATGGTCTCGATCTCCTGACCCTGTGATCCGCCCGTCTCGGCCTCCCACAGTGCTGGGATTACAGGCGTGAACCACTGCGCCCGGCCGATTCCATTTATTATAAAGACTTTCCTCACTGCTCTGCGGTGGACTTTTGTCATTAATCAAGTTTCCATACATGTAAGCATCTATTTCTATCCTCTACTCTGTTCCATTGGTCTGCTTATTAATTCTTGTGCCCAAACCACACTCAATCTTAATTATTTTGGCTTCATTAAAAAGTCTTAATAATGTACAGTGTGAGTCCTCCAGCTTAGCTCTTCAAGATTATCTGGGGTATTCTGAGCCATTTGCATTTTCATATAAAATTTTCAATAAGCTTGCTAATTTTTAGAACACTACAAGCTGGGATATTGAGTAGAATTACATTCACATCTTCATAATATTTAGCCTTCTAATTCATGAATATGATATATATCTCTATTTAGGATCTCTTTAATTTTTCTTGGTCATGTTTTGTAATTTCCTCTGTAGAGTTTTTGCATATTTTCCATTAGATTTATTACTAGGTATTTGATGTTTCTTGATGCTGTTGTAAGTAGTATTTAATTTTTTCTTATTGCTGTTATAAAGAAATACCACCATTTTTTCTACATTTACCTTTTTATTCAGCAACCTTACTAAATGTATTTTTCACTTTAGTAGTTCATGTATAGATGCTTTTCTTTTCTTTCTTTTTCTTTTTTCTTTTCTTTTTTTTTTTTTTTGAGATGGAGTCTAGCTCTGTCACCCAGGCTGGAGTGCAGTGGCATGATCTCAGCTCACTGCAAGCTCCACCTCCTGGATTCAAGCAATTCTCCTGCCTCAGCCTCCTGCGTAGCTGGTACTACAGGCGCCCACCACCACACCCAACTAATTTTTGTATTTTTAGTAGAGATGGGGTTTCACCATGTTGGCCAGGCTGGTCTCGAACTCCTGACCTCAGGTGATTCACCCACCTTTTCCTCCCAAAGTGCTGGAATTACAGGCATGAGTCACCACATCCGCCCTGTAGATGCTTTTCATGTTTTGCAAACACGATCATGTTGTCTGCGAATGAGAGTTTTAGTTCTTCCTTTCCAATTCTTATGTCTTTCATTTCTTTTTCTTGTCTTGTAATGTCTACACCTTCAACAGAATGTTGAATAGAATTAATAATGGGAATTTCATCCTATTCTTGAACTCCTGACCTCAGGTAATCTGCCTGCCTCAGCCTCCCAAAGTGCTGGGATTACAGGCTTCATTCTATTCTCTTGTTACCAACATCATGAAAAAAGTTTAAGTGTTTTGCCATGTTTCTAAATTATTCATGTCTCAAAAAAGAAAAGAAAATACAATGAAAATTTTAAATGTTTCATTGAAAAACAATGAAAATGTGACATATAAAACAATAAGGAAGTAGCTAAAACTGTACTTAGAAGAAATTTTAGTTTCAAATGCATACCTGCAAAATAAAAGCTGAACATATCAGTGAGATAAGTGTTCATCTCACGGTGTTAGAAAAAGAGCAAATTAAACCTAAAGATATTAGAATGAAGGAAATAATAAAGATGAGAGCAGGAATTAATGAAATAGAAAGAAAGAAATAATAGAATTATCAAAGGCAAATATTGGTTCTTTGACCCCTATGGACTATTGATGGGAATGTAAATTAGGATGGCCATTATGAAAAACAGTATGGAGGTTTCTGAAAAAATTAAAAACAGGACTGCCATATGATCCAGCAATGATATATACTAGGTGTATATCTGGAGGAAATGAACTCAGTGTGTCGAAGGGACACCTGCACTCCCACACTCATCGCAGCATTATTCATAATAGCCAAGATAAGGAATCAACTGAAGGAGCCACCAGCAAATGAAGTTTTAAAATGTGGTATGCTAGGCATGGTGGCTCATGCCTATAATCCTAGCATTTTGGAAGGCTGAGGCAGGAGGATCACTTGTGCCCAGGAGTTTGAAACCAGGCTAGGCAACATAGTGAGACCTCATCTCTACAAAATTAAAAAAAAATTAATTTGAAAAACAATATGCCAAAAAAATGTGCTACATGCTCATCATGGATGACATTAAAAAATAAGTAAATAAGCAATGTGGTATATCTACACAATGGAATGCTATTCAGCCTTTAAAAAGAAGGAAATTCTGTCATTTGCAACAAGATGGAAGATCCTGGAGGACATTATGTTATGAGAAATAAGTCAGGCATAGAAAGACAAGTACTGCATGATCTCACTTATATGAGGAATTGAAAAAAGTGAAACTTACAGAAGCAGAGACAGAGTAGAATGTTGGTTGCCAGGGCTGGTTAGGGGGCCAGGGAGATGGGAGATGTTGGCCAAAGGGTACAAACTTTCAATATAACATGAATAAGTTCTGGAGATCTAATACACAGCACAGTGATTATAGTTAATTGTATTGTATTGTATACTTGAAATTTGCTAAGAGAATAGTTCTTAAGTGTGTTCATTATTGGGGGAACCAGCTCCCAATATTTCAACATAGGTTCTTTTCTATTTTCCCTAAGTGTTGGCTGGTCTGAGAAATAAAGAGAGTACAAGAGAGAGAAATTTTACAGCTGGGCCTCCAGGGGTGACATCACATGTCGGCAGTTTCCATAATACCCACCTGAGCTGCAAAACCAGCAGGTTTTTTTGTTTTGTTTTGTTTTGAGACGGAGTCTCACTCTGTCGCCCAGGCTGGAGTGCAGTGGCCGGATCTCAGCTCACTGCAAGCTCCGCCTCCCAGGTTCACGCCATTCTCCTGCCTCAGCCTCCCGAGTAGCTGGGACTACAGGCTCCCGCCACCTCGCCCGGCTAGTTTTTTGTATTTTTTTTAGTAGAGACGGGGTTTCACCGTGTTAGCCAGGATGGTCTCGATCTCCTGACCT